CTGGCGCGCGGAGCGCGCCGGGGGCGCCGCCGGAGGCGCCGCCAGGCCGGGGTGCCCAGGCGCGGATCCAAGAAGTCCGCGCGGGGCGCCAACAGTTTATGTTTATGTGGTTCTTTGTTCTTCTAAAATCATGGGAGCCTGGTATTGGCGGGTTTCTCCAATAGGCTCAGGGGACCCGTCCTCCTCCTCTTCGTCCTCCTCCTTTTCCTCCTCCTCCTCCTCCTCCTCGCCCTCCTCGCCCTCCCCTCCTCGGGTCGCCTTCGGGCCCGGGGTAAACCGTCCACCTGGCATACCCTCTCAATTCCGTCTTTGACGTCGATTAGCGTCTGGGAGTGGATGAGATGGCGCCGATATAGCGTCGGCTATCGTCGATGGGCGCCGATTTGTGCGTCGATGAGTGTCGATTTGGCGTCGACTAGCGTCGATTCGCAGGAGCCCACGAGATGGTATGGGAGGCTCCCGTGAGGTGCCACCGAAAGCGCTCGGAGACAGCAAGTCACCACCCACCAAACAACCCCAACCCAACCCGAAGGCCTCATTTTGCCCTCCATTTCCAGTGTGCGTGTGTGTGCGTGTGGGGAAACATGGACAAAACACACACGGAACCCGTACCCCCCCAACCCTCCTCCTCCTTCTCCTCCTCCTTCTCATCCTCCTCTTCCTCCTCCTAATTACTCCTACTCCCACTCCTCCTCCTCCTCGTCCTCTTCCTCCTCCTCCTCGTCCTCATCTTTCTACTCCTCCTCCTTCTCCCCGCGGCCAGGGAGGCCGGCTCGGAAGATTCAAACCATGGTCAGCCAGAGTGCTGGACCTTGCAGGATCCTGCAGGGCCAGGGTCGCATTGGCCCGGGCTTGGGTGCAGGCTCCTGCAGGATCCTGCGCACTGACCCGGGCTTTGGCGCAGGATCTGGCAGGATCTTGCAGGACTGTGTAAGGCCTGAGTGACCCGGGTCGAGCTTGACCCGGGTCAGAGGATCTGTGACCTTCGCGCCTTCTGAGAAGTTCCTCTTGTGTCTTCGGGGAGGGCTTAGGAAACTCCTCCGAAGGCGGGGGATTTCAGCGCCTTCTGAGAAGGCCCGCCCCTTCTCACTTCCCCCCCTCGGGCTGGCCGCCGAGCGCATAATGTCAGGACGGGGAGCATGGGACCAGGTTCGCTCAACGTCTGTCTCCAGGCTCCTTCCGGGGGGTCCCTCTGGTGCAGCTTTGCGCACCCCGAGTCTCCAGGCTCCAAGTCCCTAGCGGGGCGACTTGCAACGTGTGCTCGCATTGCGGACTCAGGATGCACTTTAGCTGATCTGTCAGAAAAAACTTTGCACATCCCGAGTCTGCCCTCTTGACGGCCCCGGGGATGCCTGGAAATAGCCCCCCTTTCCCCCCCCCCCTGGAGACCGAGCAAGGCAACACGACAGAACTTCTCGAGCCTCGAACCACCGTTATCAAATTGATGGGAAGGATTGATTCAGTGGAGTCAATGGCTTGAATTCCGGATCCTGAAGCAGACATGTATTGCGATACTTCAGGTTCCGCGTGCCAGCGCCCCCGCCGAGCTCGTAGAGGGCCGTCCCCCCCCCCCTCTGGGGGCGCACATCGGCGCGTTGCCTTGCCTTGCCTTGCGCTCGGTCCCCTTCCTGCTGGTCGGAGCCAGTGCTCAGGATGCAACTCCTGGGAGGTTAAGTTCTGTATCGGCGCTGGTCTTTCCGCGGTCGATCATCGGCCTCGTCTGGGCCAGTCGGGTCTGACCCGGTCCCATCCCGCTCATAATCCGGCCTGACTCCCGGGTTTCGTGCGGCCTGGTCCAGCGAGATACACCCGAATCGGGCTGAATCTCCTTCCATCCCCCTGGGAAGCAAGCATGGTCCCAGGATTATGCAAGCCGCACGATGGTCAAGCTCGATAAGCTCAACGAGGTCAGTCATAGACCAGGTCACGTGAGTCGTTTCTCGGCAGGCGTGCCTAAAAAGCACCAGAAACATAAGCAGTTGGCGCTCCGCGCGAAGCGCCAAGAGTTTGTTTATGGCGTTTGTTCTTCTTCTAGTACAGTCAACCCGCATAGTAAGGATGGGTAACCTTCCCAAGGGTACCCGTGCATCCTTGCCTCCTCGGTCCATCCTTGGCCACTCTCGTTGGTTGCGCCCCGCTCGGAGAGCTTCAAAATGGCCTTCCAGGGCCCTTGCATCCTTATCGCGTATCCTTATGATACGGGCCGACTGTACACGTACACGAATCCACGCTGGGGTCGAGAGCGCGCGGACTGGAGGGCCGTGTTCATGTACGTGGCTGGGCGCGTACATCCTCTCTGGGCTCCCTAGCTCCGGGCCACATTCAGGAGAAACGATAGGGGCAACCGTACAGTCAACCCGTATACAGTCAACCCGTATAGTAAGGATGCGCGATAAGGATGCGAGGGTTTTGGACGCCCATTTCGAATCTTCTCGAGCGGGGCGCGGCCAACGAAAGTGGCCAACGATGGACCGAGGAGGCAAGGATGCCATGGTACCCT